GACACAAATCTGAACAGGGCACATTGCACTAAATGCATATTTACACAAAATAAGCAAGAGCGACTCACCATGTTGTCAGCAATGCACCAAACTCATCGACAGACTGACCCCACCAGAAACAGTGCAACATTTCCTATTCAAATGTCCAGCCTACTTCTGAGAATGCACTGACATGACTCGTGCACTGAGAGAAGACAGCAGAGACCTAAAGGAAATCCTCAAGACAGCAGACAAAATGACAAGGGGGTACCAGGATATAAATTGGTCAACTATCCTCCATATTTTTTCTAACGGCCTCCTCGAACCAACTGCCCATTCACGTGATTGATCTGCATATCTAAATTAGGAAATATGACATCATCACCATGCTACTTTTCCTCCTCGTCCACTCTTGGACTTCGTACAAGCCTTGCAAGCCCAATTGTGTGGCGCTTGATCTGCAGATACACATATTAGATGGTACTAGAATGAGATAAACAGTGATTCAGTTTGTTAGGGAGAATATATGTGAATAATCATAGGAATACTCACCCATCTCATCTCACATCCAGGTCTTTTGCATTCAATTACATCATCGGCAGTCGGATCAACCCTTAGGCCACACAAGAAATCATCCAGCCCTTGTATATGATGCCTTTCCGTCGCTATTTTGAGACTGCGAAGTGTAGATTTCGTCGCTCTCCTATGCCTGTAGTCTGGGCTATGTTTTGTCTTATCTTGATCTTATCTGATCATTATATAATAACCTCCAATATCATGTCTACAGACTAGTTATTACTTTTTCTCTATGAAATATACATCCAAGACTTGCTCTGTGCATGAATCCACTTTGGTATGTCACTTCTGAGCTATATTTCCTACCAATTTTGTGCCCTATGGAGGGTATTCCCAAAATTTTCTAACAGCCTGACGGCCGAACCAACCGCCCGGGGTACGTTCCGGGATTTACGGCCCGGGACCCCCTTGCAAAATGAAGCACTTATTTCATTACATAGCAAGGACGAAGCAACTCAAGAAGACACATGGTGATGTAACCCCAAGAGACATGAATTAAAGATGACCAGTATGTTCTACAGATATCCGATGCACCCAGGCATTGTACCCCAAATCATATCCCATCCCACCTGACATACAATCCCTGTACGCTAACCGAACACGAAATACGAATCTGATATAAAATGAACCCACCAAACGATTTACTCGCGTCAAATCGTACCAGTTGCCAAGCAACCGGGTATGCAAAAGAACACGTCAAGACAGCAAGTACGATAAATAGTATTGAAGCTACAGTACTCCGACACTCAACCAAGACTGGAGGGGCTCTAAACAGCAGCGGAGCTGCTGGGCTCACACGAGGAGCGAGCACTGGTGGTGCGCCTCGCGGAGTGCAAGAGTCATCCATGGGCAACATGAAGTGGAACGGCCAGGGGCCGGAGGTGTACTGTACAGAAATTTTGTAAAGTCAATTATAGGGCATCGCCCTCAGAGACTATAACAACAGCATAAAAAAAAAAAAAAAAAAAAAAAAACGTCAAAAGACCCGTGAAGCGCAATGGCAGGCCATTAATATCCACAGATGTATTGTATCCAATGCTAGCCTTCTTCGAAATGCACGATTTACTCTCAACGTGTTGGACAAGCGCAGAGATGAGCGTGAACTCTGCTTTGCACCTCGGACACTTGAACTCGACATCATCATGTGCCGCCGAATTCAAGTGTGTGTTGAGCCTAGGCAGAGTTTTGAAATGCTTGGAACAAATTGGACAATCGTACGTGTGCGTCAGGTAGTTATACGAAGCCGCCGTGGCGATATAAGTTTCCAAGGTCGCATTTGGAGAGGAATATCCTGTTATTCGTTTGACAGAGATATCTGGAATATTCATCCTGTGAACTGCGGCAGTTACTTGGTGGCGATTAATACCGTGGCAGCCTGACTCAACACGATGAGCGATGGCAGACGGGACCTTGAACTCTTTCTTGCAGGAAGAAACTGGGCAATTGAGTTTCGCTTGGGATTTGAAATGCGCCAGAGAGCTCCGATGCTAACAGGCCCATGTCAAGATCTTGCATGAAAATGAAGATGAATCTATTTACCTGGGCGAGACCGGTCTTTGATTTGAACATGCGGGAGCAGACGGGACATTTCTCATTCTTAATATTATGCTTCTTATGCTTCGACGAAGAACCTAGGTGAACTTTCAAAGCTTTGGGGGAGGAAAATTGGCGGACACATTGTTTGCAGGTATGAATAGATCGAGGTTTCGCACTGGGGGCGGAATGTAGAGTGACTCCCTCATCCTTTCCATCCAGATCAATTTCAGAAAGATCGGGTTCGTCTTGCGTGGTTGTAGCATTGACGTCCAGTCCTTGCCCCCTCTGGAGTGAATACATACTCAGGGCTAAATTGTTCGTGTGCGAGGCAGAGTTCATGTGCTAGAATAGTTAAAGAGAGTTCAATTAGTCGTCTTGTCTAAACAAAAGGGAGGATTTAAACGAACCAGGGACAACTCCTGCAACGGTCCAAAAGATGCATTGCACGCGATGCAAACGAAAGGGTTCGGTGTGTGGTGTAGAATATTACAATGAGATATCAATTCTGCAATGGTCAGAAACATCCCCAAGCAAGTTAAACAAGAATGGTGTTGAGCCATCGTCGTCCGCAGTGCTCGACTATCGATGTAGGTTTGTTGGGAAGGTGGGAATGGAACGATTGATAAGTGCCTCGACCTGAACCTTTTATACGTTAGTGGGAATTCCCACCTTGCTTTGTCCTTTACGAAATCCAAAGCTCAATGCGGATGAGAAGTCGAGCTTCCTTTGACAGCACGTGCTCCATTTAGACGCGTCGCGTCCGCTTTTAATTATACCTTCGAGGCAAGGATGCCTCTATGTAACACGAGAAAATCAATCTCAGCGCATTGAGATGCGGTACAATTGAAGTTTGAGTATGTCTTCCTTGATCGAGGTTAAGGACGAGGGTATCTTTGATATATAGTGACGAAAACAGAATGACAGGGCTAGAGGAGGCGTTCTACCTCAGAACCAATTAATCTGCAGACCCTTAATATAATGGTGGTTGTGAGAATCAACCTATATATATAAAGAAGACCATCAGCAAAAATCATCAAGGTTGCAGAAATAATCCTCACATCGACCGCAATCAGTCTCTCTTCGTCAATGATGTAGCTATGATAAAACATAGCAAGCTCTGTCGTCGATGAGCGATAAGGAAGCCTGTGATGACCGGAGACTCGAAAACGTCTAGCAATAACTTCGAAGGTTCTGTACACAAATGATGCTCCGTCTGAGCGTCGACATCGGACATGGAAACTCTGGCCATATTGAAGTCGAGCACGTCTATGAAAGGCAGGTAATTGTCTGGCTTTACGCGCACGACGCGATTTCCTGTACGTATCTGACATGGGGAAAAAATCCGTTTAGAAAACAGATTATTTATCAGATACAAAGAACGGTTGCTTACCTTGACCAAAACATCGGTTCTGGGCAGGGAAGAAGCCTTGTGTTATGTTCGCCCCATTCATCCCAGTGGACACTAAGAGGTCGACTCTCTGCCTCTGTCGCGTTTCCGTCCAAAGCGGCTGAGTAATTCTGGATATACTTGAGGAGTGTATGGTTGTGAACGAAAAGCTCATATGAATGACCAGAATCGTGTGGAATGTCGAAATCAGCATAGGTTATTGAAAAGGCTAGAATGTGAGAATCAGGGGAAGTAAAGAAGAGCGAGCCTTCAGCCGGTTCTGCTTGGATCATGCCCGAGTCGACAGAGAGCCTATAAACATACTTGGGGGACTTTATAGGCGGGAGGTGAAGGCAAGCAGCAAGTACTGGTGGTTCGGGTGGGATAAAGCCGTTGAAAACATATAAAGCAAGAGGCAACCGGAATCTAGATTTGATGTCAAAACAAAGGAACTGCGATTGAGCAAGCTAAAGTATTGGATGTTTGGTCCGAAATCCTCTCCGGAATCCTAGATATCGAGAAAAATGCTTCAGATAATGGACATTAAAGAGTAAAATGGACCTGCGTATATGAGCGCGCCATTGTGCCAGTCCCATATCAACAACCTACGCGCGTTGTGCCAGTGAACGATGAATAATGCAAGGACGTTGGACGCTATGTGTAAAAAAGCTTTCCGGATCCTGACTACGCTATCTGGATCGGAAGATATCAAGAAGTTCAGGACGTGTTCTTGAGCACCAGGGTGACTTTCATTTGTAGAGAGGGTCCGCAAATGGACTTGACCACGCTGTGTCCAGGTATTGGCTAAATACAGGAAATCGATCAGTCTCTTGATATAATTTGAAAGGACCAATGTACTTTACAGCATCATTCTGTAAGAAAACTAGGAGGTCTTGAGTTGGGTCGATGCTGAAGTCGCCAAAGGGTATTTCCGGAGACTCATACTCAAGAGTACGCCCACATCCCTGGAAGAAGGCAACCATATCACTTTCAGAGATTTTCCAGCAAGGATGGCAAGAACCCCAGCAGCGAAATCATGAGAGCGATATTCAGAGATGTCCAATGGCAAATCCTTGTAACCCTCCCATATCAAGTTCCCCCAATTGACTCGAAGGTCACGAATACGCGAGAGCCGGTCGGGCAGTGGAACGTCGCTTCTGCCGTCCACCATCTCGTTGACGCTTAGTTCGACTATGTATTGAAGCTTTGGTGAATTTTGATAGGTATCGTAGAGAAATCTGCACGTCTGAATTCAGAACGACTCATTTAATGAAAAACAAACGAAACACGTCAGTTGCGATGAAAAGGATCGCACCAGAGCACAGCGTATGACAGACAGACGATCTATGTCAGCCATGATTTCGACTACGATTTCTTCGGGAAGAGAAACAAGAGTGGCCATAGTACATGAGGAGATGAGGATGAGTTGAGAAAGAGTTATGTAGCATTCAAATTTTTGAATCCTGCTTCGGCCGATATTATCGAAGTATTTGTCATCCACTGGTGGGTAAAGTCTATAACAGCATTAATGGGGTAGTGGTAACCTGGGTCGTTGCCATTCCTTCCGAGCTTGCTCGACCCGCCGGGGGTTCGATTCCCCCTTAATGCAATGATGCTTATTTTCAAAATAATTTTCACTATTTCCGGACATAATTACTACTCCATAATTTTCTCGCCTTCTGTTCTTTTTTTCTTTTCTGTTACTCGGTGAGGAATTGTGTATGCATACTCAGTGACAGGCCTGCCTCGACGTGTATGCGCAACATGTGATGATCGGACCGCAAATTTAAAATTTCCCTCGACTGAACCACCTCCACTCAGCTGCCCCAATGTTCACTTCTGAGAAGCTTGGGACTTGAGGCACACCTACTTCTTCAGATCCTCGTGACTCCTCTCCACGCAATAAAAGAATATCTCTCAGTTCTTAACAACTCGGAATTGTGCAAGTTAACCAGAGGTTCAGCGAAAATCGTATTTATATGCAAACGGTACGGAAGCTATTCCTGCTTCTGCTGTTCAGCACTTATTGGATCGAATCAGCCATAAACTGAGCTCATTTGCGTGGTCTAATGGCAAGGCTTTCTTTCCTGGTTTTTGCCACCATTCTCCGCTTTTCTGAAGCCACCATCACCACCCCTCCTCCAGCCTTCGCAATCCCCACCAGCCCAGGACTAGACCTCGTGAATCTCCTCATCGGAAACGGCGGAGACACCCCCAATGGCTCAGGAGGGATGATACCCAGCACCGCGCCCCCATTCGGCATGACTCGGTGGGTAGCGCAGACGCAGCCCCACTACGTGTCTGCCACACCCTATAATTGGACTCTGGACAAGGTCATGGGCGTCGTGGGGACGCGGCAGCCGGCCATTTGGATGGGCGAGAGCGCGCCGATTAGTGTTAGTGCCGGTGTGGGTGAGAATGTGGTTGTTGAGTTCGACAAGAGGGGGTTGGAGGTACTGAGGGGCAGTGACGGGGAGAAGAAGGAAGTCATCAGCTCTGGCTATTATAGCGTAGAGCTGGATGATGGACACGGAGGGAGCATTATGGTCGAACAGACTGCCAGTGAGCTCCCTGCAACATGCTTTCTCGTGCTTTCTGACATCATTGACAGCTTCCCGTGTCGCCCATCTGCGGTTCACGTTCAACAGTACCCTTTCACCTTATATTCTCTTCGAAGTTGCCCGACCCTCCGTCATCACTTCAACACCAACGAACATTACATACCCACTCGGCGCTCTCTCCCTTCAAAACAACCTGGAAATCTGCGGCTGGTCAGACGAACGACAAGACTGGATCATCGCTCCTCTATCCACCGCTCCTTTCTCCCAACACTTCAAGGGATACTTCTGCGCTCGATTCGATCAAGATACCCCAGATCGCACGTTCAGTGCTATTCAGAACGAGACAAATTTCTCGGCCTTGCAACTTGGTCAATCCGTCTCTGGACCTTTATTATACACCTATGCAAGGTTTCCTATATCTTCGTCGTCTACAGAGTCAAATGCAAGAAAGGAAACAGCGATAACTCTCCGTGTTGGCACTTCCTTCATCTCAGAGGAGCAAGCCAGGAAGAACATTGACGCTGAGATCCCAGATCGCGTCTTGCCTTCTAGTTCTGATCCAGTAGATCTGCATCTGGTACCTGGAACATTTGAAAACACTGCCTACCGCGTTCGAAAATCCTGGACGGATATACTGAACCGGATAGAGCTCAAGGTCTACGTGGATCCCAATACCGCAGCTGCAAGTACGGATCCTCGAGACTTTGTCGACCAACAGACATTTTGGACGGGTGTTGTTCATTCCATTCAGGTACATCATTTTGTTGTTCTGTTCTGACTTGCCGTTATACTATTTCTACAGTATCCCTACGAGCAGCATGAACAAAATCAGTACTATTCCGGATATGACAACAAGGTACATCAACTGGAAGAAGGCGGCGAGTCGCATACTGGGTATTCGATCTGGGTAAGAGAGACGCGTTTTCGGTCAACTTTTAGACCTTGAAAAGATTTTGGTGATGTAGGACACTTATCGCGCTATATGGGGCTGGCAAATCCTCTTTGTCCCAGAGCGCATTCCAGGATTCGTACGGAGCATGCTGGCTGATTATCAGGAGGTCACCGATTTCCCCAATATTTCTTCAGTCGCTTTATTGAATGCGTATGCAGAGCGGCTGGTTACCTATGTGGAAGAACATTGTTGAGACCAACATCATGGTAGGTTTATTCTGTTCTGGTGTATTTTAACCGACTTGACATCCCATACTAGGTCGCCACGCACGCAGATTCACTCATTGCTGAAGCTGTGTTGAAGAACATTACTGGATTTGACCGTGACCTAGCTTGGGAGGCCGTATGGAAGGACGCCACTGTACCGCCTGTAGATGACTGGACAGTTATGTACGTCTCTGTGTCATACATTATTACAATTCAACAACTAAAGTTTGTGATGGCAGATACGCTGACCGCGAAGAGGTATTTTCTTTCTTTTTGGTTTGACTAGATGACATACTGACTATGTCTGGTAACGATAGCATGTTGACTACGAAGTACGCGCCGGTCTCTCATCCACTTATAATGTTGCAGGTAAAGGCTGGGTTGCGGATGACGTGCACTCTGAAAGCGCGTCTCGCACGTTGGATTATGCCTGTATGTTGAAATCCGCGCGAGAAATTTCCTGTAATCCTTTTTGCTGTTGCTGAATATCTTGTCCGCAGATGATGACTATGCTGCATACGTCCTGGCAAGAGAACTCGGCAAACCAGAGAATATAACAAATTTCCTGCTGAAACGATCCATGGCCGCACCTTTTACTCTGTATAACGATGCTACAGGGTTCATGGAAGCTCGAAATGCGGACGGAAGTTGGGCTGGGGAGGACAATGGTTGGACGGAAGGTCTGTTTAGTATATCTGAGAGGAACGTGATCGGAAAGGCTGATTTAAATATGTAGGCGACAAGTGGGCGTATTCCTTTGACGTTGTCCATGACGTACCTACTTTGATCGAGCGCCGAGGAGGGAAGGTCAAGTTTGTTGAAAGCTTGGACGAGCATTTTGACGGAGGCCATAATGACCACAGCAATGAGGTGCGTTTATTTTCTTAAGTTCACGCGCGGTTTGTTTTTAATTCGCAATTTTGTTCAAATATTTTCTTAGCCATCTCACCATATTCCATACCTCTACTCCCTCTCCGGTGCAGCCTGGAAGACACAAAAGAAGGTCAGAGACATTGCACTTGCTGATTACAATAATACGCCAACGGGATTATCTGGGGTTTGTGGGCTTACGCTTTGATCCTCGGTCGCTTTCTGACCTTGACCAACAGAATGAAGACTGCGGGCAAATGAGCGCGTGGTACATTTTCAGCGCATTGGGATTCTATCCGGTCAATCCTGTCTCTGGCGAATACGTTGTTGGATCGTAAGTATTTTTTTCCAGTCAAGCCATCCGATCCTTTGCACACCGGTATTTGACTTATCGGACTTTTTACAGACCATTTTTCGAGCAAATCACTACCGACCTCACTGATCCATCCTCCCTGGTTCAGCTCCAACCAAACCCACAAACTCACCGTCACAGCCATAGGCGCTCGGACAAAACCATATATCAAATCACTCACTATCAACGGGGTAAGCATTGACGGACCTGTCATTAAGCACGAACAGATCGCCAGAGGCGCGGATGTGGTATTTGAGATGAGTGACCAAGTCGAGGAGTGGGGTAATGACGAAGAAGTTTTGAAGGCCTTTGGTATAGATCTGGAGCGTTCGACCAGGGTCAGGGAAAGGAAGCATACGCCCAAGATGGATGTACCAGAGTCGGTGGGCGGTGGTGCTGATGCTACACCTCATGACGAACTGTGAATGACGAGCTTTTTTCCTCGTTTGCTATGATGCATTCTAAACGGTGTTGTAAGTACAATCTATTAAGAAACTTTGTAGCCATTTCGGCCCTAGGAAATGACCCCTATTTAACGCCCCATAACGGTAATTCGGCAATGACGTCACTCGACTGGTTCCACCTTTTATGAAGAGCAAGCAGTCCAGAACCTGTCTTCTGTATTACGCCGCACACCATGCCTTCGACCAAACGAGCAAGAAAGTCTTTCTCTCCTCCAGGAGAATCACCAGAGCTGCCTTCCACACAAATATCGACAGATGACCCTTCTACACCTCCCGCTGATGACTTCGAAAACGACAGGGCTGAGCTAGACAGCAATGCGAGTGCATTCCTTCAATTGACTTCGATATCGCGGATGAGGAGGAGGAAGGGGCAGAACCGGAAAGTACTGCGCCTACAGGATCCTCCAAAGATTACGTCGGGAGGGGTTACAATGCCCTGAAAACGTTCAAGGGTCAAGTCTACACTGGCATGCCTATTGGTGGGTCTCATACTTGGAATTACGATCAAGGAGTATGGAAGGAGACGAAAGAGGAACCTGATCTGTGGAAGGTCGATTATAAGACGCACAAACGACGGGCTCGGAAGCACCAACGGGAAGTGGTGCACCTGTCGGGACTGAGTATCATTGGTTGATTGTTGCTCATCAGGTTCGTCTTATTCTATATTTTATCCACGGAATGATACATGACTCCTTTATTCTTTCTGCACAAACAGCATGTCAAGAAGATCGACGCGAATACATATGAAACCGAACTCGTGGGTTCAAAGTACAAACTCGCACACAAGAACGCAAATTCGAAGACTTGGTCCATCCCAGATGTAAAATCGCAGCGGGACCGCGAGGTCGAGCTGCTGGAAGATGCCAAACGACGTGTTCAGGGTTTACCGCCTGTGATGGCAGGTGAAAAGGTGAAAGTTATCAAACATGAGAAGGGACAGCAGAAGTTAGACAGTTTATTTGGTTTGAAGAAGGATGGGCAGGAGAAAGTCCAGTCCGCCGATGCCACTGACGGTAAGAAGAGAAAGAGAGGGGTAAATTGAAGAGGGCTTCATCTTCAGGCATTGTGGACTCGTAGCTTGTTGAAATGGAGTAAGAGGGTACTTTCGTTCTTGCTGCACTGGAGTCCTCAATGGGTTTTACGCCTTCAAGTAGTCGGACTACATTGAGGTTCACAATAGCATTCACTGGAGTGGCTTCAAACG